TTCATAGCAAATATATTGCCATAGGTAACTGACAAAGCATTTCATAGCAAATATATGACTATAAAATTTCCAATAATACCATGTAATGATGGTGAATTCAATATTTCAGCAATTCGTTGTGAACTGGAATTTACCCTTTCAATATTTCCCAACAATGTAATGTAAATGGAGGAATAAATTGTTATAACAGGATTGAACAATTATTAGCATTCCCTCATACACACACACACCCCAAAAAAAAAAAAAAAAAAAAAAAAAAAAAAACACCTTACTGTGGGGAAAAAAAAATTATCCGGGCAATCATTCTCCTTTGACACAGATACAGTTGTATCAATAATTTTGGACCTTCAATAAAAAAAAAAAAAAAAAAACCATATTTTACTTCGGAATTAACTTACTAAATCATAAAGACGAGGTAGTCGATATAAAGAATAAATTATTTCTCACCTCTCGAAAACATCCGCTTGTTCGGAATCTTCCACATCTCATTTAATTCCATATTTATTTCTTGAGCTCGACGTTTGTACGCTGAACTTCTAGGATCTTTTATTAAAACCAGGATGTTTTTTCGGTCGTCCTTGATATTTTCGCATATTTTTTGCAAACTGACCACAGTACAAATAAATGTAAACAAAACGAGTGCGGAATAGCAATGCAATAGGGTTGCCGTAAATGTCATTCTGCTGACAGCTGACAATGTTTAGTGAAAAAACTGTGTATAAAGGAATATATGAAACGCTTCTAAATATTATTTAGAAAAAAAATATGATTTATAACTGATATCAAAATCAATTACTTCGTGAATTTTTGCAGAAATAAGATTACAATGTTAAATTTTAACTCGTAGCGCCATCTATTGATGGCTTTCCAAACTACACATTAAAATTACGTATTTTCAAACTATTTTTTTAAAAATATAATATTTAAGTAAATTTCATTTCAAACCTGATTCTAACATTGTGATTCGAAAACTGACCTATTGCTTTATATTTCTGCCAAATTGCACGCAACATAGTTTCTTAATTAGCGATTCTGCGTGTAAAAAAATTTTTAGTATTGTAATGCTGCTGTAGTAGACCACCTTAATATCATGCTTTTCTACCAAGATGAATTTAATTGCACTAAACCCCAGATAATACTAATGGTAATGATGCATTGTGCAATCTACCAATTTTAATTATTTCTTAGATGGCAGAACTACAATATTATTTTTAAGCTTTAATTTGTAGTAAAATGGTAGGGAAAAGAAATGATTAAAGCAACAACCAATTTTAGTGGTGCCATGTAAAAAACAACTGACTGACTAAAAGTGATAGATTACATACTACATTATTAGCATCTCAGGGTCTGCACACATTTCTGCACATGGAAATTAAGTACCTTTAAAGGACCACCAATGAAACAAAGGTCCCATCAAGCAAATAGGAATTCAATAAACTAAAGGAAAATTTGTATGAATAAAATAAATCTGTACGTAGAATGCATTATTATTAAACACAATCTAATATTTAACTTAATTGCAAAACAAATTCAAGAATAATACTAACTTCACAAATTTAGTCAAGTAATTAGCATTAAATTATAAAGTTTCATGAAGCATTTATATTTATAATAGATATTTTAAAGAATACATATTTTAATATGTATTTTACAGATTTTAATAGACATTTTAAAGAAGATTACTAGCTTTTTACTTAAATTGTGCTAACGGCTTTATATTGATTCTTTCTTTTATGCCTCATTTCATCACTTACTTGCTCAGTCCAGAGGTGTATGCAAATTTTATGCCAAATAGCATAAGTTAAACCGGGAAGTACATCAGCATGACTCATAACAAAAGCTTGGCTATTGCCACCACAGATGCATGGTTGGAGATGATCAGAACAAATGTGAATGCCTGACATTTGCACTTTGTTTGACCCAGTTAGTGTCATAGCTTTATATAGATTTGCTGAAGTTGTAACCGAGTTAATATACAGTATTTAATATAAAGTTCCAATAAGCCTCTGAGGCATCAGAGATGATACATTGTTTTGTATTATTTTAAGTCTATTGGCTGTAGAGAATAATTTTTTACGTTCATTTTTACATTTTTGTATTTATCTTGCATAGAGAATAAGAGATAACTCACCTTAACACGTAGAGATAATTCCTAAGAATGAGCAGTTAGTTACAAATAATTAAATTACACAGTTAGATACTCTCAGTCATAATACATTTACATGGTTACAATTACATTTTTTTTTTTTCATTTCTAAAACATATCCATTAAAAAAGCACTAAGAACATTTTACAGCACTTCTAATTTATGCAAATGATTCTAAAATAATATTAGCATAACTATACATTAAAAGGTACAAAAAATTATGATTTGTAGCGACAACAAACAACAAATTGTTAATGTGTCTTTTTTACTTGAAAATTTTTTTACAAATATTTTAGTTAATTTACATCAGTTTCTTTTGCTTTAGGATCTTTTCTAAGTTTGTTTCAATAAACAAATCAATGCCCCTGCTGGTCTCCTCTTCCTCTCCTAATTTATTAAAATTTCAACAAAGTACCTTTGAAGAATAATTTTCTCTTTTTATAAAACCAATTTCTTTTAAATAAATCAATGCTCCCACTGGTCTCCTCTTCCGATCTTAATTTATTAAAATTTCAACAACGTGCCTTTGAAGAATAATTTTCTCTTCATAAAACAAATTTCTTTTTCAATAAATTTCCTCTTCATTTTAGAATTTTCAGATTTAATTAAAGATTGTTGTTATTCTAAAGAACTGCCTGTACTAAGAATGTAAAGAAGAAACTTCTAATCTTATTTCTTTAATAATATGAGTATTGAAAATAATACAAACTGATATCAGGTACTGATATAAACTGATATTGAAAATAATACAAACTGATACAAACTGTATTGACTGAAGTCAATACAGGCACTTTAGAGAGTGTGGCAAAATTTTTAGAATTTAGTGAAGCACTGAGCAACAAAATTTGGGGCAAGCAAAAGTTTAGAATCCAGGGCAGGCACTGAGGTATGTACGGTGCACTGAGACATATATTCATTACGATACTGAGACGTAATGAATCTTTTAATTTACAATAAGTTTTCAATTTCTTTGCTTTATTTGACTGCTTGTGACTAGTGGAAAGATAAAAAAATAAAGTGAAAATAAACATATTAAAGATTTTTGAGATCAGATTCACTGTTCTTCCAAAAATTCTCCAAAAGAGATGGGTAAAGTGAATTTTCAACAGAAAGCGTAACACATTTAAATATTCTAAAACAATTACATGTGAAAAAACTCTTATTAAATGAATAAATAAATAAATAAAAAATCTAAAAGCTTTCAGATTTCACATTACGGGCAAAGGGGCTTAATGTTTTGTGTGTTACCTTTATAAATATCCTGTTCTTTTCACTTGAACTAAAAAATTCAATTCAACAGCAATATTGCAAAATAATATTAAAATGAGCGTATCTTTAGAATTTCTGATACACAGTCTTGCACACTCAAGATAAAAAAGTTTTTTTTTTTTTTTCTTCTGTACAGTGCTGCCATTGCTCCCTTTGAAACAGTTGAGTTTGTTAAACAAAAATTCATTAAAGTGTTAGAAAATATGAAATCGATAATAAAACAGATTCCAAATTAGGGCATTCAGATGCCCAAATTCAGTGGAGGATTGATTATGTTATTCAAAATTTGATGGCTCTAGGTACCTTTTTTTTTTTACTATACTAGAAACATACATATATTTAATTTCTTTAAATATATTACAGGGCTCTAATACTTGGTGACAACAACTTAAAAAGTGATTTGCCATTTGTAGCAAATCAATGCAAAATGCTAAAATAAAATTAATAGTCCTTCTGGGCAAATTGCCCCTTTGAAATAATAAATAAAATAATAATAAAAAAAGACAAATGATATCAATTTTGAAATAATTATAATAGTTGTGTTTTGAAAACTGTGTTTTATAGCATTTATTATCTTGTTTATTTTTCAGAATCAAATATTTCAAAATGGAAAGTCATCAAAGGAAAGTAACGTTACTTTAAAATATGGGAGGACAAAATAAAATGTTTTATTTTAATGTTATTTCTAAAATATAATTTTCATTTATTAATCACCATTTTCAAGATATTTTTCAATGTTTGCAAAAAAAAAAAAAAAAAAAAAAAAAACTGTCAAAAATCTCATAAATCTTCAAATAAAAAATTTTATATACAACTTATTTATATATATATTTATATACTGATTTTGGAATTTCCAAATTTAGTGCTGCATAGTTAAATGAAACAGTTCTTTTTGATGCAATATTTTATGAATTCTTCATTTAAAAAAAAAGAATTACTTCAAAATGTTTATGTTTCAGTCGACGCAGGGCCTCGTATCTGAAACTTGAGTATCTACCATTAATTATATTGCGAAATAGGAAAAAATTCAGACATCAAATCCAAATATTTGTCAATGCATTGCCAAAATATATTCTGCCAAATTGCTAATTCACACTCAAAATAACCCTCTAAAAACCCAGACAAATGTCAAATGAGTAAAATTAAGGACCTTTTGCCAGTTTTGGCCGAAATTAAGGACTTTTAAGGACAAAAATCCTTTCCAAGGAGTTTTAAGTACTTTTAAGAACTGCCTGAACCTTGCATATTCATTTAAACAGGTAATACAAAAATCGCCACTGGTGATTAAAAAAAGGCACCATCACCAACAGATTCTTTGTAGTACCAAATCCTAAAAAACTTATGATTTTACCAGCAGTTTGTTGGAAATTAAAGTACACTTTAAATACAAATAACAAATAAACTTCTCAAATAATTGCTTCAAAATTCTGAATGTTAGCTTCAATTTTCTATTAAATCTAATAGAATGATTTAAAGATAAACATGCTCTTCACATTTGTATAAAAATGATGCAAAACAACAGATGATATGAGAAAATAAATATATTTACAATTTACTCATACTTAGAATATATATAATCAGTTTAAATAAAACTCTATCACTAAGTATAATACAAAGAACTCACCACTGGCATCTGTATATTATTACGATTCTGGAGATGCTGCGTAATTTTCTGCACTGCAGTATTTGGATTATATGTAGAATTAAATGGACGAGGTGAAAAGTTACACATGTTTGATGACGGCTTTATAACAGAGGATGTAGAATTACTTTTAATATTAGATGAGTAATCTGCATTACTAGACCATGATTCGTCCTCAGTAGATGAAGATAAAGAGTCTTCAGAATGTTTTCCTTTCAAGGTAAATTTTGTATTATAAGGCAAAGTCTGATATTTAGGATCATTTTTTGTCAAACAAAATTCTCCAAGGTCATCTTTGTGTAACCCAATCAACTTAGCTGCCATGTCATCCTGAGTATGTTCGGGTTCTAAAGATTCTCTCTGTATAGGTTCTACAGTTACAATTGTAGTAGGATGGAAAAGGCCATTGTTAATAATATTGTTGCTAGAATTTCGTGAAAGTGAAGCATTGTGAATTTGAGCAGCAAGTTGTTCATTTAGTAGGCGCTTACGATGAAGGCGCTGAGTAAGCTCATTTATTTTCTTGTCCAAAACAGCTATATCCTGCTGTCTAAGTGCAATGTTTTCTCGCTGCTGGCATATATAATTATTTTGTTGCTCAGCCAGTTTTGTTCGGTACTAAAAGAAAAATATGAAAAAAGATTTTTGATTTCACATTTTAAACTGCATTAATCAGCAAAACAGTTTTTAATAAAAGAAAAAACAAAACTATGGTTTATTAAGAATGAATACTTTTGCTTAACTTTAAACCAAAAATTTGATATTTAACATATATTTACCAGCAATTCTCTTTTTAAACTTTCAAGTTCAGAAGCAGCAGAGGACATAATGCAGTTCTTTCTATTGTTGTTGTTTCTGATTTCATCAAGCTGGCGAGTAAGTTCTTCTACCTTGTTTACAGCAAGATTAAGTTCTTTTTCCTTTTCACTAAACAATGCTCGGATGGAATCTAATTCAGTACCTAAATTTATAAAAGTAATATATCAACACACATTAAAAAAGAAGTTATTGCTTTGCAATATATTGGAAAATTTAAATGATGCTGTCATAAGACTGCCTCAAGTAAAAGACTCCTTTGAAATGAACAAATTTCATACATAATTAACAAAATTCTGCGAGTGGAGAGGGAAAAAAACTTTTAGTGGAACTACAAGTTTTTAATGTGGCTACCTTCAGAGACCATAACACATTGCATGCAGGAGATTGTTGCCAACAGTAACAGACAAAACATCACAGGAGGAACCTATATTACTTTATGTTTTATTGTCCCTTTTAATTCTGACAAATACTGTGGATTTGACATGTACACCTCGGATTTCAGACAACCCCAGAATCTATTGGAGTGAGGTCGGGTGATCATGTTGGCCACGAAACTGCAAAGTTTCGATATCTGACTATTTTGAAATGTAGTACATATTGAAAACTTGTAATTCCAATAAAAAATTTCTTCTCCTCTCCTCTCTTTTGCTGCTATTTGTCCTTTATAATGCTTCCCTTTGCGAATGTTTTATGCCAGCAGTTTTTGTGTATTGTTCCAGCATCATTTATGATTTTTCAATGCGCTGATCGATTTGCACAGAAACAAAAGTGGGTGCTGCCATCTGGAAATTTTGAAAATTTTTCACTGTAACAGTAATCATGAGAGCCTTAAATCATCTCAAGAGTGTACCTTCAAATCCAATATCTGAAATTTCAATTGGCTGGACGGACAGGTCGCTTGGAGTTCAATATATCACAGAAGTTTTTTTTATTACCACCTTTTATATATAAGATATAAAAATATGAAGAAAATTTATTAACAAATTAATCTTAATTTGCAATATCCCTTTAAATTCCTAATATCAATTTAAATATAATCCCTTCAAGGCACCTGCATTGATATCATTCTTTTCCTGCAGTAACCACAATGATAAAAATGCTTGCACAATCATTGTACAAGATTAAAACAAAGCAATCGAGTTTATTTACAGGCCCTGCTGCTTAATATGCATCACTTTCTCCTCTACTGCTGCCTAGCTAGCACCTATTTGTCGTTCTTTGATTTTCATCTATTGTTCTAAAATGTAACTGCGTATATGAAATTGTGAAGCCTGTTTATCACCCCTAGTGTTATATCAATCAAGAAAAAATGTGTTTCTAAAGAACTGTTCCTCTTCAGAAATGAAAATGTATATATCATTTTCATTATGACAATTGCAGTTGCGCTGTCATACTTTTTAATGCCATAGTACCATCTAAACTATCATGCATGTATATGCAAGTCCAGTCACATTAATGTTACCTCCACCTACCTTCGATTTTAACGTGAAATAACCAATCACAGAAGGCAGGCGGCAGCACACTGCATTGGAGCGTATACAGAAACAGAGCGATTTATCTGACATCCAAACAGGCATGACAATTGGCTTTCGGGCCAAAGGTGGAAGAATTTCCGAAACTGTTAATTTTGTAAACAGTTTGCGCATACTATGATAAAAGCATACCGTGCATGGCAAAACGTCACTATCCAAAATCAGAGACGTGGCAAATGTAGTGCACTATAGGCCATAAATGACACAGGTGAACAACAGCTACAGAGATGCGTTTGGGTGAAAAGACATGCCATCGTTAATCCTCTCACTGCGTACATTTTTTATCAAAATAGGTTCAATAATTGCGTATTCTTTTTATAACATATTTCAGATCTACATATATTTTAAAGTTAAAATATGCAAAAAAATTTTTTAAAGTTTTTTTTTTTTCCAATATGGAATAAGATCATAGAAAAAGGATATCAGAATACTGAAATTGAAGAATAATGATATAAAAGGAAACTTTTGAAAATTAATATTGGTTAAATTATGATTTATTTTATAAAATACAAAGGTAAAACATGTATATTAATGAAAATATTTGCATAAAGTAATATTTTGCATATCAATTTTGCACCACTGTTGAACGTTTTCAATAGAAACTGAATTTTCAGATTCATCACTATTTGCAGAAGAATCCAAGAAATTCTCATCAGTTTCGCTATACTATCTTCAATATACTTGAAATCAGAGTCAGAACTACTGTCAGTGTAGGAAATATCGTCAGGAATATAGGTTATATCACTCGCGAAACACTTCCTGCCAGAAATCTTTGAGCTCTGAAAAGCACGCACAAAATGCTACAATACGTATTCTTGTATGTTTGGCAAAAATGTGGACAATTAGTGCCATCTGTTAGCTCACATCTAAATAAACAATTAAACATCACAGAAAAGCTGAAAGGAAACCTTGAACTTGGAAAGAGCGGGTTGCACAGTTAAATAGAGGGCAAAAATTCATCCCTGCAGAAATCGCGGGTTGCACAAATTTTGCTACTTCTACGTTGCCCGTGGAAATCGCGGGATACGCAGTGAGAGGGTTAAGCAACTGATCACACAGATGAACGAAAGGGCTACCAACGGTGTCTCCTCAACGACGGTTCCGCGAATGTTGCCACGTTTGGGCCTCAACAGTAGGCGCCTGGTTGACACCTATACTGACTGCAGTTCATCAGTGATGAAGGCTGGAACTTGCATGCCAGTACCGCAACTGGATGTCCACTGAGCAGCGACAGGTGGCTTTTTCCGATGAATCATGTTTCATGCTCCTTCGGAAAGATGGATGTTAGCATATACAGAGTGAAATGATGAAAAGCAAACACCCTGCAACAACTGCCAGAAGGGTCCAAGCTGGAAGAAGAAGCATTATAGTCTGGGGAATGTTTTCATGGCATTCAAGTTCCGAAGTATCCCATTTATGTGAGGGCATGCATGTTCTGAATGACTTCATAAAAGTCATCTCATCTGCTAAAGAATCTCAGTAAAGAAAGCATTTTGTGATTATGCAGGATGTTTCAAAAAAAGTACATGGCTACGCATTTCTTAATTAAGAAATTGTCCAGATTAGGACAATTTCAACCACGAATACAGAACGGACATATGCAAAATTTAAATTTTTATACAAGAGACAAATTAAAATTTCTGTAAGTGATAGAAAAATGGCATCAATCAGTTTAAATTTTAATCAAACACTTAAAATTAGGCAAAAAAGCATCCTTAGCCAAACTAAGGCAGTTTTGTTCGGATTCTGAATAACTTCATCGATTTTGAGGGTGACCAAACATAGCCACAGATTGTTCAAGGGGCAAAAAAAATTTTCTGCAGTTCTTCCCTGAGGAAATTAATTTTAAATTTTGCACTGTCATGTTTTCTTTCAATCAGAAATACATTGGTCAAATAATTTCCAGAAATATTGAGTAGTTCATAAATGAACTTTTGCATCAAAGATATTGTGATCAACTCATAAACTTTTGCATTTCCCTAATTAAAATGCTGCAAAGGTACTTAGTTACACGTTTTTAGTTATATTGTTACAAAATGCCCAGCTGTGGTAAGAGAGCTTCCCCACAAAGCGGGTTTAGGATTACTAGATTTGGCACAAAATTGGCGATATACCATAGATGGAACGAGGACATTCTAGAACGAATTTTTACTGATTTGCCCCAGAATGTTCTCGAAGGCAGGTCAAAAGCTATATAAACCCTGCCTGTACGCAGAGTTGTAGCGTATCGTGAGGAGTATCTTGAGTGTGTTGAGCTCTGAGATCGATGACCGAGTCAGGAGCAGTATTTTAGTGTTTTGCGTGAAGCTGTCTTCACCATTATAGCCTGAAGGCTGTGTTGCTGATTGTTTGTCACAGTTTTTTTATGACTGTAGACATGTTTTTTGGAACTCTCCTGTGAAATGCGAATAAATTGTGTTTTGATTCTTCGTCAAGTGCGATCAATCACTCCAAATCCACGAATCCGTAGAATGCAACAATATTTATATTAACTTTAGTTAAATTCCATTGCTATTTTGAAGGCTATTTTTTTTTAATTATCTAATGTCCTGTTAATGTTATTAAAAGAGCTGCAAACAAATGCGATAACATTTAGCAGCACTTACTGTACTAGAAATCTGCATATGACAAACGCTGGACAGTGATGTTCAGCAGATGAGCTACTTTTTCAACAGAAATAATGTGAGTATGGACTAATATTTAATGGTTCCATTAATTCAATTAGTGATGAGTTATTAGGGAAAATTACTTAAAAGCTAATGTATTTTATAAAACAATCATTTATTTATTTGTAAAATTATGTAAGGCAGTTATAAATTATTCAGAAATAAATAGGAAACAAATGACCAATATATATCTTCTACAAAGTTTATATTTACTTAAATTTCCATTGTTTGTCTTTTGCTGTTCTACTTGGCCTCTTAAAGCTCGTAACTGTCTTAATTTTAGTTCCTGTGTTTCAACTTTCTCACGGAGATTTTGTAAACAGGCTGTGTCCAACTGTTGTTCAGTCAAGTTATGATGGCGAGCTTCTTGCTGTTTCAGAAATTTTAATCTCTGTTCTTTAGCAACAAGCAGTTGCTGCTGGGCCTCAATCTGATGCTGCTGCCTAGCAGCCATTTGTCTCAGCTCAGCTAATGTCATCTCTGCTTCTTCTGGTAACTGAAAATTATAATAAATTTACATAAAGCGAACAATTTTTAAAATAGTCAGAAATTTATCAATAAACTTAAATATCAGAGTACAACACAATATCTTAAACCTAATTAAAAACTTTGGAGAAAGTGCAGAATCACCCACTGCTTGGCACGTTTTTAAGAATTGCACATACTCCGTATCCATGTACACATCAACCTGTTTTCACTAAAAAACAAATCATCCCAGAATTGCACAAAAATGGCATTGCTCACTCCCTTTATCCATGTACATATTGACCTACTTTCACTTAAAAAGTCAAAGAAAATTGACAAAAATCCAATTCTTCTTACTCTTGTGGAAAGCACCAAACAAATAAGTGGGCGATTCTGCACTTTACCCAAAACTTTTTTCACCAAGAATAAAACACTATACTTGCTAATATACTAGTTAAATATCTATAACATATAGCAAATGAAATCGGGGGAAATAATCCTATCCCATGACACTACCTCCCTGAAGGACTTACAGAAATAGTGACAAAAGAATGCAACTACAATATATGCAAGCCTCTTTTTAGCTTTTTGAAATAGCAAATTTCATGGAAAATAGCATAAAATATCATTAAAAAATTTAACTGAAATTAACTGGAAATACCGTATTTATGCGAATCTAATGCGCATCCCCATTTTAAAACTTTAAATAATAAAACAAATTTTTGTCGGCGAATGTAATGCGCATCAATGGTATGAGGAATTTATTGAATCTTATTTATACAACAATGGATTTGTATTAAAACTATCAATCAATGGTATGATAATTTATTTAAAATTTAGATACCATATTTTATACACAATGGATTTATACATAAAGTAGCAGAACATAGAATTAACCTATTAGTGGGCTATTGTTATGTGAAACAATCATTGTAATTACCACTACCGTATATACGGTACATATCGTAAAGTATGAACATGAAATAAATCATAACATTTCTATCTAGCTAACAGTTTTCTACAATCAGTGATTAATAGTAAAACGTCTTTATTCACTATTTTGATGATAACTTCCTTAGTCCCCTCCTCCGTAATGTTGTAGTTACGAGGCATATCAAACCAAATTGGCGTCTCGCCAGCGTTGCCAATTTGCCCCATTTAAAAATTCTTTTTCTTTCCGAAGTGTGATGACATACCGCTGAAATGTAAGTAGTTTTCCCTCAAAATCTGCAGGAAGCTTTTGGCATAGTGTTGTACGGCGTCTTAAAGATAAGCCCATCCGCTTCATCAACCGATCCACCCATCCACGGCTAGCTTTAAACTCTGGTTTCGGTATTCGAAGAACTTCAGCCTTCTCTTTTGCTTTATTTCTTATAGTGTTACTAGTCACAGGTTGTCCATTCTTCCTCCTTTCACGTACAAATTGCAAAACTTTTTCTTCAATTTTAGGGTGTCTTCCTTTGCGAGGGCCAGTGAATTTCTTTCTACTAGTTTTAGTTGCAAACAGTGCCAATTTCTGTTGCCGCCACAAGCGAACATTGCTCTCTAGCTACGTTTAACTCTCTCCCAGCCTTTCTATTGCCATTTTCTTTCAGGATAAAGAATTACTTTAACGTTTGAAAGTAGCGTCACATATGACATTCTTCTCTGCTTGCCCTCCATTTCGTGACTTCGTACTCTGCAGTTTGTATCCTCTATGCAATAATGTGTCAACAATAAATGTTACGGTAAATGTAGTCGAGAAATACAGTAATCCATTGTTATGATTTAAATTTGACGTCATCAGGCGAACTGCTGACGTCAACGGCGAACTTTGCACTCGAATCTAATGCGCACCACAATTTTGAGTACTACATTTGGCCAAAAACGATGCGCATTAGATTCGCGTAAATACGGTATTTTCTCTCATCTGCTTCCATCGCTACAACACACACACACACATATACACACAAAAAAAAAGGGGGAGAATAGCTGAATGCCCTCTGACAAGCTAGCATGCACATTTATCTGATACTAACCTGAAATAATATGTATGCAGAATTTTTAGAATTCATTGCTCAGAATTATTGACCAATCTTATGAATGATGTGTCTTTGACAATACTCAATTATCTATAAAATTAAACGTGTACCAAGATTGGAGAAAAAAATTTTTTTAATAATCATTTGAAGTACTAAGTCAATAAAATAGTTTACATGTGTTAAACTTTTATATAATATTTATTGTTTACTACAAGCACAATAATTATAAATAAGTTAAAATTAGCTCATTAAAAATTACTATTTCAGTATTCACTGAAAGCACTTACATAGTTGTAACACATTTTTAAGTATATTTTATTGCACTATGTGCAAATCACATTATGTTCACCTAGACGTGAGTTTTTCTGCATCAATCAGAGATTACAACTTTAAGCAAAGACAATAAAACAGTATTTAAGGAAGGCTGGAATCTTTACACACAACATCCCCTTAAGCTTCATATTATAAAAAATGTAATGCAAATATTCATATAAAAGTAATGCAAATCTCTACATATAATAAAAGAGTCTGTCTGTGTGTGTGTGTCTTTCGTTCGCACTGCGCGTAAGCTAATAGACCCACGGCTACAAAATTTGGTACATAGGTGCATCTAGACAAGAGCCAGAACTTTGCACCTCGAAGCAACTTTTTTGAAATTCGAATTTGAATTTTTTTTATTTTATGTTTTGTCACGAAATCATGTCATTTTGAGACATAATGGGCTTATAGGAAAGCAAGATTTCACTCTACACACTTCATTTTCACATCATCATGAAACGTAGGCGCTTAGCTATTTTATGAACTTGAACTAAATTTCGTGTTTCAATAAATCCATTAAATACGAATTTATTTAACAAAAGGAGCTTAACACTTTTCAACGGGATTTTTTCTAAAAAAGTTTATTTTTAAAAATGTACAGTTTATTTTTCTTTGATTTTAGGACACGTTAAACTTCATTCTTGCGCCTGCTTTTAAAAAGAATTTTGGAAAATTATAAATTTTGTCTTTAATTTTTTTTTTTTTTTTTTTAATGAAGCTTCCGAGTCACTTTCTCACATCTTTAAAAATGTGATTTGCCAACAATTTTCCAGTCTCATTGCTGTTGATAAGCTTTTTGATAAATCACATCATTTTTAATAGTTTCATTCTTTAGAATAGGGTTTGGCAAACAATTTCATCGTACTTATGTCATTGTTTCTTAAAGATTGGCATATTTCATTTTCATTTATATATATAAAGAATTTTTATTGATTCTGTTTTGATAAAGTTGTTCGAGAGTAAGTAAATTCTGTGCGGAATTTTATAGTTGCTTTCCGTATTTGTTGCTATTTCCTGTTTGTAGGATACTGAAAGTTTTGCATGATTTCCTTCAACGGAAAGTTGGTAATTTTTTTTGAGGATAATTAATATTGTAGTTAGGGATATAGCTTATTTCATTATAATTTTTTTTCTGTTGAAAATATAAGATAAAATATCACTGATTATACTTTTCAGAATTTTTTTGTTTTGTAGTTTCATTTACTTATTGCTCATTTCACTGTTTTTAAGATATTGAAAAGTTTAGGTTTTTTAGGAAAAAAGTTCACCTCTTTACCCATTGAGTTCTTAAGATTTTGCAAAGGGAAGTTTTGTTTTTTTATTAGGATAATTCTATTGTATAAGGGATATTGCTTATTCATTGTATTGTTACTTAATACTTTTTTTATGAAGTTGTTCTGCAGAGTAAAATTCTATGCAGTTTTTAAATTTAACATTTGGTGTTCCCTTCAGCCATTTTTCTGGTAAATTTAAAAGCCAGACGAAGGCAGGCAGCGAAGCTGATAGTATTCATATAAACATAAAGAAATCAATTTTGAAAAAATAACAAAATCAACTTTTCATATAGTCCATTGGTTTTACATTTATTTAGGAAAAGTTTCATACTCATTTTTAAAAATAACACATTTAACACCTGCATAACAATAATTGACCAAGATATTTAATTTCAAAATTTAGAATTTTTCACATTATTTTCAATTGATTTTGAGGAGTAGATTAATAAATTCAAATAAAATGAGGTTCATTTCCCCCTTAAATGACATTTAAAGATATACATATGTATATTTAATAAATGTAGTATTTTAATTACATACGAGAAATCCAGCACTTTTAACTTGTGGTTGTAGACATGGCTAAGTAGAATGACATACACAAGACGATAACAAAAGTGGATTTTGATGAATCACCTATCTTTATTTTCACAAATATCAAATCATTTTGGTAGATATTTATCTAATCATAATTAAATACGATACTTTTCATTTACATTGGTTTTAAAAGGAAGACGTAGGCATCATAGACTGGGAAGCAAAGCAGCGTGGATGTTGGTAAGGTGGAAGTTAGGTAAAGGAATGAGGTAGTTGCTTGCAAAGAGTATTTATACCAAGTATGATTCATAAGTACAGCTAATCTGTGATTGGTTTATTTTAGGCTGTTATGTAACATGGTAAGATCTGAAATTTGAGAGAACAGATAAATTTAGGAGGAAGAACATCAAAATTTAGAATAGTTAATTTTGAGTTTGCCAATTATTTCTCAGAGCAGCCATGGTATTTTGTTATATTTTACATATACATATTGTGATTCACTAGTATGCAACATTCTTTAATTTATAATTTTATTAGAACTGGTATACCTAAAGAATTTTTCATAAATAATTTAAAGAGTTTTAAACACTAAAAATACACATTAATATTCTCACAATGTTTTATTACTTTAGAATTATACTCTAAATAATCATATAAAAATTAATCAAACTAGAAATATTTTCTTTTTTTAATTTATGCAAATAATGTTACGAGTTAGCTATTTGCAAATTAAGCCTGCCAGTGTTTTCAAGAACACGATTCTCAGAACAAAATGGCCTTTTTCTCTGTGATGCCAATCCAAGAATGCTAACATCAAAATTAAATTAATGACACAGAAAAATAAAAATATTAAATGGTTTATGTAACACTCCCATTTTTTGATT